TCTCTCTCTCTCTCTCTCTCTCTCTCTCTCTCTTTCTCTCTCTGTATGTGTGTCTCCTCCCCTCACTCTTCATTTTTTTAATTATTTAATTTTCATTTTATGTGTACAAGTGTTTTGCCTGCATGTATATAAGAGCACCCATGTTGTACAATGCCCATGGACACCAGAAGAGTGCATTGGATTTCCTGGAACTGGAGTTAGGATGGTTATTAGCCACTATGTGGGTACTGAAAAGTGAACCCAGATCCTCTGGAAGAGCAGTCAGTGCTCTTAACCACTGAGCCATCTCTCCAGCCCCCACTCCTGGGTTTTCAAGACAGGGTCTCATTCTGGAGTCCTGGCTAGCTTCGAATTCACAGTGATCCTCCTGTCTCAGCCTCCTGAGAGCTGGGATTGTAGGTGTAATCCACCCATAGGTTAGGTTAGTACTAGTCAGTGTGACCCCTGGACCAGTAGCTACAGCATCACCTGAATATTTGTTTAGAAATAGAAATTCTCAGGTCTAGGTCTATTGAATCAGACACTCCAAGGTGGGACCCAAGCCTTCCAGGTGATGGTAGCACACATGAAGCCTTGGGTAGGGTGACAGTTTTACAGTTTTGTCCCTGTTGTCTATGCCTGAGGCACGGGGGGGGGGGCAACATGAAGCAAATGGTAGAGGCCAAGTTTAAACACAGGCAAGCCCAGTCCTCAGCCAACACTCTCTCCAGCTTTGACAGCACTTCCATTTGTACTGTTCAAATGCTCAGGAAATAGTATTTGCAGCTCACATACTCACAGAGGCAAATATTGCTTACCATTCACAGATTGGCTTTATGAACAATGGGAAAATAGAGGCAGCAGACATCGAATTTTACATCAATGGAGGCTGCACACCAGATGATTCTGAACTGGTATGTGACTTACAAGAAAACCTGGGGTTCCAGCTCTCAGGGATGATGGATTCAATGTAAGCTTGATGTCTTACAGTATTGACTTAGAAGGTCTATTGTGTCCACTGACCCACAGTCACTTGGCACAGACTGTCAACTGTGAGCAACAATGACTCAGGAGGCTTCCAGATCTCTATCACCCTCTGGGTGAGGTATCCAGGAGCTGTTCAGGAGAGTGCCCAAAAGCTCACTTTCCATTCACTGTGCTCTGTCTGGGTGTGCCCCTTTGATGAATATCTCAGGTTGCCCAGGAGAGAACTTGCCCAGCACAGAGCTGTCTTCACATTCCTCCTTCTTTCCACATCCTCTCCTGTGGAAAGGCTGGGACTGAGAGGGGGCACTGTCAGGGAAGGATACTAACACAATTGTCTTCTCAAAGGAGGGTGGGGCTTTGGGTTTGTTCCACACTTCCCAGCCCCTCCTCTCCTGCTCAGAGCCTCAGCCCCACCTAGACTCTCATCCAGGCCCAGTAGCCTCTGTAGCATCTCATGATCCAAAATACACATGGAGCCCTTCCCACATCCATCACTTATGGTCTAATCCCTTGATGATAGATACGAGGAGTTCACTAGCTATTTTGACATTTTTCCCTGCTCTAAATATTTCTGCCAATTCCAAAAGCACCCCAGCTTATTTTTCTCTACTTGTTCATCTCATCATGGCCTTTGTTTCCCTGTGAGCCTGACACTGTGTCCACAGCCCACTCCATATAGATGGAATCTCATTACCCAACCATACATGGTTTCATTACTTGTTCTTAATTCATAAAAATTAAATTTGTTTCTCCAGAGAAGAAGGAAGAGGTGTATCCCAAGTTTCAGCATAGCTGCTGTGCCCTATTCTATAAAACATGAACATATGGGGGCATGACTGTCCCCATCTATTAGAGCTGTTCTTACCATTCTTTTTCCAACTTAGAATCAGATTCAGTGACTTGGGACAGTCATTCTATGCCATCAGTACCAAAACACAGCTGTCCCTTGGTAGCCAGAGAAGACTGGTTCCCTAACAGACACCAAAACCTGCATGTGGTCAAGTCCCTTGTGTAAAATGACACAGCATTTTCTTGTAGCCTACACACATTGACCACATACTTTAACTCATTTCTAGGTGACTTACAAAACCTAAAAGAGAGCTTTCCTGGGTAAGTTTGGCAGTGCCCAGTGCGCCTTGACTCCCTCAACTTCATTCACCCTCCCAGCTCCCTGACCCCATCTCTCCTCCTAGCAAGGGCACTGACCAATTTCTTGTCTTGGCACCCCAGACCTCTGGACTGACCTCTTGGCCCAGACTCCCCACTGCTTCCTGATCCTTCGCCTCCAGACCAATCCAATTCCTCCTTGTAGTCCCTGGGAGCCCTCAGGGCCTCTTCCCATCCCCACCTCCCTTTTCATCTCTGGGTGGCCCAGCCCCCCAGCTTCCTGGGGCCAGCATCTTTCCTGGAGGGATCCAGTCCTTAGGAAAAAGCCTGAGAGCATCTGATCCTCATCTGAATTGGGCCTTTGTGGGAACTCCTGAGCAGGAAGATGAAATCAATTTGGCCCCTCCAAAATAAAATCAAAAGAGAGAACCTGAAGGCTAGACCAACCAGCTTTTCATGCCCAACAAGTAAACCACAAAGGCATATAAAGTTTACAAAAAGAAGCAGACCTAAACTCAACAAACGAAGGCCTGAGTATCACACAGGAATCAGAAACTATGAAAGAAATCCACATGTCAAAGTCACAGTGAAAAAATAATAATATGAAAAATCCAAATACTATATCCCCACCAAGTACCAACAGTCCTGTAGAAGAATACAATAAGAACACCCTAGAGATAACACAGGGTATGGAATTCAAAAGAACAATTATAAACATGAAAAAGGAATTCAGTGAATTTAAAGAACATACAAAGAAATCAAAGAACTAAAAGAAGATGGGGATAAACTGTTGAATGAAATCAGAAAAGAGTTAGAAATACTGAAGAATAATCAGGCTGAAATGAAGAAGGAAGTGAAACTCTCAATAAGCTAATTAGAAACAACAGGAGAAAGCCTCACCAATAGGATGAATGAAATGGAAAACAAAATATCAAGACTGGAAGATAAAGTGGATGAATTAGACCACTCAAGCAAAGATCATGAAAAATTTATGAAAACACAAGAATGGAATGTGGAGGAATTGTGCAACAGCATAAAGACCAAACTTACAAATCATAGGCAAAAGAGAAGAATCTTATAATAATGATATGGACTAGATCTTCAACAGGATTGTAGAAGAAAATTTCCCAAAATTAAAGACATGCCCATACAAATAGATGAAGCATATAGAACACCAAATAGACAGGACCAGAAAAGAAGCACACCACAGCACACCATAGTGAAAACACTAAACATACAGAACAGAGAGAATACTGGAAGCTGTAAAAAAAAAAAAAAAAAAGTCACATATAAAGGACAACCCATCAGAATTACAGCTGACTATTCGGTGCAAACTATAAAAGCCAGAAGAGCCTGGACCAAAGTATTCCCAGTTCTAAATGACCACAGATGCCTGTGGAGGCATGGTAACAAGATGGCACCAAGCAGCTTAGGTGAAGGTGGACCCAGGTGACCATCTTGGCACGCGACAAAAAGAGAAAGTAGTACTGATTAAAGTTTAGCCAGTGAAGGACGTGTGACCACCTCATGAACACTATGTTATGCTATGAGAAGGGCCTGCGTGCTAATACGTGACCTCTGAGCTGATTGGATGGCAGCCTCCCTGCCTTTGCTATGCTTATGGTTGTTGCCTTTAAATATTGTTCAGCCTTAACAATAAATGAGTTCCAGCTTAAAACTACTCCCTGTCGCGTCTGATTGTCCTTGGAGAGAAGGGCTGGCAAAACGGGCAGACAGCGCACTTACCCCTCCTCGACCCCCATCGCTGCGGCCTCTTGTTCCTCTGCTCCAGATGAAGGGGTTCAGAGACCGTGGCAGATGCCAACCCAGATTACCTTATCTAGCCAAAATGTCTATTATAGTTGAAGGGGAAATAAAAATCTTCTGTTACATAAATAGGCTAAAAGAATTCATGTCCACAAAACCAGCCCTTCAGAGAGTTCTTGAAGCAATACAAAGAGCTGAAGAAAGACTCTTGTTCCTCTGCTCCAGATGAAGGGGTTCAGAGACCGTGGCAGATGCCAACCCAGATTACCTTATCTAGCCAAAATGTCTATTATAGTTGAAGGGGAAATAAAAATCTTCTGTTACATAAATAGGCTAAAAGAATTCATGTCCACAAAACCAGCCCTTCAGAGAGTTCTTGAAGCAATACAAAGAGCTGAAGAAAGAAATGGCTATACCCAA